AGGTGGATGGATTTACATCTGGGTTCTCAATTCTGTTCCATTGGTCAATGTATCTGTCATTGTACCAGTACCAGGCTGTTTTGACTACTGTAGCTGTACAGTAGGTTCTGAAGTCAGGTAGTGTGAGTCCACCAACTTTATTCTTCTTCTTCAGTAGTGCTTTACTTATTCGTGAGCCTCAGTTTTGATTAATTTCACGATGTTTTGTCAATTGGTGTATTTTAGTAGATAAAGAAGTTAATTTAGAACTTATGTTGTGGAGGCATGAAAGTCAATTTGTGCCTTTTATCTTTTGTTATAAAAGTTATTTTACTACTACTACTACTACTACTAATGGTTTAGCTTTTAACCCTTTCTTTTTTGAGACAGCTTGTTTTTCTATCATAGGTCATTGTGACCAAGTCTAACTTTTTTAAGATATTGGTAGCTTCTCCTGACTTGTCCACTGTCTCATCTTTTCAAAAAAACAAACTCATTGCTATCAAGTCAATTCCGACTCATAGCAACCCTATAAGACAGAGTAGAACTGTCCATAGGGTTTCCAAGGAGCAGCTGGTGGATTTGAACTGCTGACCTTTTGGTTAGCAGTCAAGCTCTTTAACCACTGTGCCACCAGGGCACCATCCCATCTTTACTGAAGTTAAATTTGCAGGTGGCCACTTAGTTATCCATGCTCTAGCTACCCAGTTAAACAATGATCTTTCTATTTTAGTTTGATTTTTCCCCAAGAACCTTAGTTCTTGGTTTAGTCTAGCATCATTGGTGATTGTTCCTAGTTGTAATAGCTCATCACCTATTAGATTTAAATTACTTCCACCATTTGACCAGAGTTTTAAAAGACAATGTGTTTTGGTGGAGGCACCTGTTTGTTGGAATTCTTGTCTAACTTTAATCATCTCCTGTCTTGTAAATGTTCTCTGTTTTTGTAACTTTGATAGGGTCCACATCAGTATCATTTTTAGTAATTTTGCCAATTGTCAAGGGGCATGATAGTGAATTATCAGGGGCTTATGAGTCATTTGCATTTTTATCTGATGGAGCAAATTAATCGGGATTTAAGATAGGTCTTTTGACACTATCTGCCTGGCCAAGCTTTCACTTTTATTTTTATCTATATTCACGATTGCTCCTAACAACAGGGCTGGCGCCTCTTGCCTCTTAGACCTTCTAATTATAGGATACAATTCCTGAGGTCAAATTATCAGGCTGATATCAGGAGTATCATTTATTTTAAATCTCTTCCTTGCTACATCTGCTATAGACCTGCTTGGCTTATTGTTCAGGGGTACATGATCATTTTTTGTGACATCAAATATTTGCCTGAGCCTATTAATTCTTGTTAGTAATTTAAGTAATAAGATTTAACTTTTCTGTCCGTGCTCCTTTATATTAGTCAAAGTTTCTTTTGTTTGAATATTATTTTGTATGCCCCTGATTAAAAACCAGAATGCGATTACATATATTAATGCTAGGTATAGCCAAAGAAAAATTGAAAAGTTGTGGTTTTTAAGTGTTTTGGTCCCTCATATTCCCTATTTCCTCACGGGACATTTGGGATTTGCGCTTTTGTGTTTTCGGTTGATCTCAATGTTGCTTGAGCACCTCGCCTCTCGGGCCCCTAGTCTTATGCAAACTAGCCATGTGGATACTGATTTGACCAGATCAAATATCCCCCAGAGAATAGAGATTTTTGTGCCTTCCCCGGGGTTCTCGTTTATACTGGTGAGCAGCCTAATGCCATCTGTGCTCGGCCTGTGACCAGTAGTCCCTCTCACAGGATTCCTGTTTAGACTGGCAAGTGCCCTGTGGTATCTTTGTTTGACTTGTGACCAGTATCCTGTCACAAGAAGACTTGTTTATAGTAGCAGAAACTCTAATGGCTTTTAACTGTCTGACTTGTGCTCACTTTGATTTAGTCTGAAAATATGACTGACCAATAGCTCTTTTCTACATCAAATGGACCCAGTTTTGTTTAAATTTAGTTAGTCTAGGTGTTGTCATGTGTGTGAGCCTGTATTTCATTAATTTAAGCAATAATCAATAACCAGTCAATAATCAATAATCATTAATCATCCTGCCGACTACAGCAATTGTCCTGGAGGATTTTATCTTAAGAATAAATAAAGAAATGCCCAGGTTTGTCATGCAGAAACTCATTTAATTTATTGCAGGGTAGTCATGGCAAGACACACATGTAAGACCTCTAGACATTCATTTAGCATTAGAGAATCAGAATTAACAATTACAATGTTACTTTAAATATTAGAGTCGGAGCCTTTAGACTTCAGGCTTTTACATTTAATGCGTGGTCTTGAGGAGGAGACTTGACCAACTTTTGAACTAAGAGGAGATGCCGCATAGCTAGGGTCCAAGGTTGATTGTGGCAAGCAGCATCCCAGCAGGCTTCTCAGTCTTCAGATAGAGAGTCAGAAAGACTTTTAGCTTCTGTCTTCTTCTCCGAAAATGAGCAGAAATTCATGGGTTTGTATACCTTGTGTGCTGTCATATTCAACTACATTTGCTATGTTTTATTGCCAGTTAAAGAATGTTGTATGACGTATTTATGTTTTATTAATTTATATTATGTTTTATTGCCAATTAGGGAATTGTTGTATGAAAAAGCATTATAGGAGTATACATAATAGTGACTTACACATATGTGTTTTAAGAACGTTAAAGAATCAGATATTATTTGAGAGCATGCAGAAAGCATATATAACACTGAGGTAGGGTGGTTCTAGGAAGTTAAGATAATGGTTCACTGACATCACCAAGGACTCAGACTTGGTCCACCCCACCTCCCAACCTCAGAAAATAAGCTTTGTTTTCATGGCCCCAAAATGGGTGATGTGGTTCCAGGCATCGCATCATGACATAATTTCAGTGCAAGAAGATGTCTCTTCTTAAGATGAAGAGCAAAGGGTAAATACACCTTTCACTTTCCCCCACCAAAGGGTTTTCCTTCAAGATTTATTGGCCAAAAGTATGTCACATATTCATGTATAAACCAATCACTGCAACAGGGAATCAAATCATCATAATTAACCTAGACTAATTAGCATTTATTTTCTGAGCTAGGGATAGAGTTTCTTTCCCTGCAGGGTAGATTTTTCAAGATAATAGGGGCTCCGTTAGCGGAGGTCTATCTAGGGAGGGGGTGCAGATAGGGCATGTGTCCTGCGTGCAGCTTGAGGCAGGGTGCCAATGAGTAGCTTCTATTGGCCATCACAGTATTCATTGCCAGCTGTGAGAGATCATTCAGCAGTTTAACACTAATTACCTAGACATTATTATCCTTAGATAGGCCCCTGTCCAGTAGCAAATATGGCTGGTAGTCACTGAACCATGTCTCTTACAGCTCCTAAGGAGCCTCAGGTTTTCTCCAAATACCAGTGGTTCTGACATTCCTCAAATTCACCCTTGAACATTAAGTGGAGGGTTCTTGAGTCTTGAGGGTTTTTTCCTTTTCAAAAACTTTACTTAGCTCTTCTCTCCATGTGTTGGATTAAGGCAGAATGAAATACTTCCACTGCAAAATCAACTTCTGGTTTAGTGATGCACATCGAGGGCGCAATGCGGAGTGTCTGAGGAAACAAAGGAAAACTGAGCAACAGATCATCATAGAGTCAAATACAAGTTTGAAAAAATGCACTAAACTAAGAACCCCAAACCTTGTTTTTTATGATGCTTCTTATATTTCACTCTTTGCATTGGACTCCTCCTCTCTCCCCAATGCTGAATCCAGGCTATTCATTCTCCAGTCTGCTTGTCCCTCTCAGGCTCATACCATCTGACTCTGTCTCTTCTTTTTGTCATCTAGCAACCTGCTGGTCCTTCAGCCACCTCACTCTTAGGCACCTATATGCATTCCATTTCTGCCATGGTGACCTGGTGACCTCCATGTCCGTCTGTACAACCCAGCAAACTAGCATCTCAGTTTCTCAATTGCCACAACTCCCAGGACCTTCATTTCCACTCCTCTGAGTCCATTAACATCTAAGACCCGAGCCATGAACCACTTCTTCACCAGGAACAACTCAATTTCTGATTTCCATGACATGTGCTCTTTTCATTAAAACTTTAGTGTCTTCATTCCTCCATTTTCTTCAGGTTTATTGTCCCACTCATAGTTCTTTCTTTCCTACCCAGCTTGGAACACGTGATTGACTGTTGGACTACTCTCTCACCTACTACCTAAGTTAGCTTGTACTTCCACCCTTCTGCTGCACTCACATGACAAAGTCCAACCCAAATCAATGCTATAATTGAACTGCTTTGCTCCAACATAGATAGCTGAGCAAGTTAGAGAAAATCACACAGCTGGGTGGACTGACACCACTAGATATTCAAGGTCTCCAACTTCTGCTGGTCTCCTAAGTTTTTCTTGTTCTCTGTCAGCTTCCTTTCCCAATTTGACCCTTTATCATCTCAATTTCCTTGCTCAATTTCTCTGATGCTTACTTTATTTCATACTTCTCAGAGAAAACTGAAGCTGTCAGGCAAGAACTCTTTAGAAACTTATCTGTTCTCACATTCATTCTTATACCCTTTCCTGAAAGTTCAGAGAATGAACCTTCCTGTTCAAACCAGACCTTCCACCTGTGCCCTTGACCCTCCATGCTCCTTCCACCTTCACCCCAGGACTCATCCTCATGTCTTCTTGCACCTTTAACTTTTCCTGAACTTCCCCTCAGCTATAAACAAGCAAGATTATAGCTCCCCTAGTCCAAATCAAAACCACCACCACCACAACAACAAAAATAAAAATCTGTGTTGGGCCTTTCTAGCTACCACACAAATGCCATCCTCTTGCTTTTATTCAAACTTATTTTAAAAAACTGGTTGATGCTTATTGCCTATTATTTTCACTCCCTCTCCTCCTAGCACGCCTCAACCTATTGTTGCCTGGTTTCTATCAAACTTTCAACACCACTCTGACTACAGTTGCCAGTGACCTGCTAAGAGCAGAATTCAATGGACATTTTTCAGCTATTATCCTTCCTGGCCTTCTGACACTTTGATCCCTCCCTTGGGCCCTTTCCACTCATTTGTTTTCATGATATCATACTCTCCTAGCTCTCCTCACACCTCTCTGCCCCATTCGGTCTCAACACGGGCACTTTTCCCTCCATCTGTCCTTTAAATGCTGGTGTTACCCAAGTTCCTATCCTCACTTCACTGCTTTTCTCACACTTCCCAGGAGATTGCCTTATCTCACCACTTATATGTGGACGACTCCCAGATCATGGTCTTTAGCTCGGCTTATTCCCCTGAGCTACCATAAACAAACAAACAAACAAACAAATAAAAACAAAAACACCAAACCAGTTGCTGTTGAGTCGATTCTGACTCATGGTAACCTCGTGTTTCAGAGTATAACTGTGCTCCTTTACGAAGTAGATCACCAGACCTTTCTTCTGAGGTACCTCTAGGTGTATTGAACTGCCAACCTTTTGGTTAGTAGCTGAGCACTTAATCATTTGTGCCACACAGGGGGACTCCCCTCTGAGCTACAGACCTGTATATAAAACTAGATGTTCCGTAAACACCTCAAATGGAACATTTTCATAGCTGAACTGATCTTTGCCCTCTTAAGCCAAGTTAGACATGATAGATTCATCCTTGATTTTCCCTCTGTATTTCCAAGTTGTGTCCGTTTTACTTCTAGAATTGTTCTCAAATCCCTCTCTATCCCTACTACCACTGCTCAATTTCACACACCATCATCAGACCCCTGCTTGGACTACTTGCCTCCAGTGCTGCCCCTCAGGTCTATCCTCCTCAGAGGACAGATTCAGAAATTAGACTGCCTGAGTTTAGATCTGGTTCGGCCACTTACTAGACGTGTGGCTTGGGGAATCTACTTAACTTCTCTGTGCCTCTTTCTCCTCATCTGTAAAATAAGCATAATAATGGTGCTAATCTCATAGGCTTGTTGTGAGCATTCAGTGGGTCAATCCACGCAAAGTGTTTAGAACAGAGCCTGACAGGTTGTAAGGGCTTCCTCTTCTTACCTCTTCAGCCTCATTTCTTCCCCCATCTGCTACCTCAGACTTTATGCTCTGTTCACACTAGTGTGTTTGTCACTGTGCACCCTGCCATGCTTTTTCTCATACTTTCACTGTCTGACTCTTTGTTTAAGGCTCCGCTTAGCCAGAAAGACTGTCCTAAAGTCCCTTCTCTTTCCTCCTGTAATATGCCTTTTTACTATATCTATAACTGAGCTTAGTACATTGCACTTAATTTTCTGTTTATATGTCTTTCTCTCCCACCAGCTCAAAGAAAGCAGAGATTGGGTCTTATTTATCTTGTAACTTCAGTACACAGCATAGCACCTGCCTCTTGGCACTTAATAAATGTTTACCGAATAACTAATTAAAAACAAGCAGTTGTCTTATGTCTTTAAAAGTTGCAAGTCTTAGGAATTTTAATCATTAAATTATGCTAATTTGTTCAGAAAAATATCTATGACCAGGACTAGATAAAGAGCATGTCCCAGCAAGTGTTCGCATTCTTGTTTTGTTTGGTGTGGTTTGGATTTGGGCTGGGAGAGTCCTGCTTGTTTATAGGCTGAGTGGGAGTTGAGGAAAAGTTTGAGATGCAAGAGAACATGAGGATGAATCCTGGAGCCAAGGTGGAAGGAGCATGGAGGGTCAAGGGCACAGGTGGTAGATTTGGATTCAGCAAGAGAGACCTCATTCTCTGAATCTTCAGGAAAGGATATGGCAATGAATGTGAGAGCAGACAAGTTTCTAGAGAGATCTTGCCTGCGAGCTTCAATTTTCTCTGAGAAGTACAAGGCAAGAGTATCTGTGAAATGTATCTGCTGAAATAGAGTGAGAGGCAGGAACGGAGCAGGGAAAATGAGAAGAATAATGAACATTTAAAATGGGAAAGAAAGATGACAGAGGAGAAGAACGAATTATGCAGCTAGCAGAGGCACATCTAAGGTATGGCAGGTATGGCACATGCCCTGGGTGCCACTTGAAGTGGGAGGGGCGCCACAGGGTAATTTCTACTGACCCAGTATGGCCAAACATCCTTCCTCAAGCACAGTAGACACAGAGACATGGGCGGGGGTTGGGAGGGGGGAGGGAGGCAGAGGGTGACACTTGCCCTGGGCCACAAGTCCAAGGGGGTGCCACAGGAGTCATGGAATGACATTCAGAGGCAGTATAAATATGAATGGAGCCTGACTGAAGCTGTCAGACAAGAGGGGGGAAGGCATTTCTGCTGACCCATCACTGCTATCAATGTTTATTGGTCTTTAAATTGGGGCGGGGGCGCGGGAGGGAGGCGTAAGGTAGAGATTGCCCCTGGGTGCATGTTACCCTCACTATACCCCTGCAGGGGTGCAAATCAGTGCTTATCATAGGCACTGTTTTCTGTAGATACGCCTCTGACAGAAGTTAGCCTCATCTAAAAAGTCTGCCTGGACGGAAGCCCTGGTGAGATACCTGTTGGTGTGAGGGATTTAGGGGCAGATCACTTTACTAACAGCAGCAGAAGCCCAGCCCTGGAGGGCAGAGCCGAGACCAAGGGCCTGGCTGTGGAGCTGGACTTGGCTTTTCCAGGAAGGGGTGGGTGAGGGATTGCTCTCTGGAATTTCCTAGCCTGATGGAGAAGGGTACTGGGAGTGGCTGATTTTGAGTTCTGCATTGAGACCCTGCCCAAGGGTGGTCCCCTACCCCTCCTGCAGGGATTACCTAGGCCTGCCAAATCTGTTGGGTTGCTCCCAGCCACAGCAGCCATTAAAGCTTGGCATGTTTCAGGTTCATAAAGTCAGAAGTTAGGACTGAGTTTAAGAACTGCTAGGATTGTTTTGGAGCCCATGCGTAGTGCAAATGATTAATGTGCTTTACTACTAACTGAAAGGTTGGAGGTTCAAGTCCACCCAGAGGCACCTTGGAAGAAAAACTTGGTGATCTACTTCCAAAAAATCTGCCATTGAAAACCGTATGGAGCACAATTCTACTCTGACACACACAAGGTCACCATGGGTTAGAATTGACTTGATGGCAACTGGTCAGGTTCTTTTACACAGTGTCTTAGTCATCTAGTGCTGCTGTAACAGAAATACCACGAAGCTTTAACAAAGAGAAATTTATTCTCTCATAGTCTAGGAGGCTAAAAGTCTGAATTCAGGGTGCCAGCTCCAGGGGAAGGCTTTTTGTCTTTGTCAGCTCTGGCGGAATGTCCTTGTCATGAATCTTCCCCTGGTCTAGGAGCTTCTCCGCGCAGGGACCCTTGGTCCAAAGGATACGCTATTCTCCTGGCTCTTGTTTCTTGGTAGTATGAGGTCTCCATGTCTCTCTGCTCACTTCTCTCCTTTATATCTCAAAAGAGATTGACTTAAGACATAACCTAATCTTGTAGATTGAGTCCTGCCTCATTAACATAATTGCCTCTGATCCTGCCTCATTAACATCATACAGGTAAGATTTACAACACTTAGGAAAGGAAAATCACATGAAAAAAAGGTGGATAGTCACACAATACTGGGAATCATGGCCTAGCCAAGTTGACATATATTTTTTGGGGACACAATTCAATCCATGACCCAGGGGTTAGAATTAATTCATACATGAGGCAAATTATTTATTGCATGACTATTAAGACTTCCATTATGGCCTATACTGTAAAACCTCTGGTTTGTCTGAATATCTTGTTTCTGCCAGACTGCTCGCTGTATTTATTCCTCACAGAGCTGAGATGTCCAAACCAGTTTACCACAGCGTGCCCTAGTGGTTTGAAGACTTCACTGCCCCATTCTTTTTGATAACATCTGAGCATTCTCCATAGAGGAATTGGAGCTGGGTCCCTTAGCACAGTCGTGAAGAAAAGAAGTGACCAGCATCAGGACATCAGAGGTATACTCTCCTAAAATGGTAGGAATACCAGGCTTCCTCTTACCTGAGAAAAAATGCCACCTCTGCCAATTAGGAGCCCCATCTGTTTGCAGTCCTCATGGATTTGATTTATTTCTTCACGAGGAAGAGGCTGGCGGCTCATCTGTAAATAAAATTTTAAAAACATTTTATATTTGGCAATTAATTAATCAGGCAATTAATTCCTTTCTTCTTTTTTTCTTTCTGTAATTGAATAAAGCTGTAATTGAATAATTGCTGGACCAGATTTTCTGGGGGGTCATTAAAAATATTTGTTTTTATCTCAATTCATCCAAATTTTCAAAGACAAATTAAATTCAATGCAGACAGCCAGTGACTCTTGGCTCCGCTAATGGCTTCACTGGGAATTTGTTTCTTTCATAGTTGGATTTGGAGTCTGCTGTATTTATGTGGAAATTCTTCTCAACTCTTCACTTTGTTTTGCCCGTGTAAAGAGCTCATTTCAATGTCCAGGAAATGGCTCAGAAGTTGCACAAGGGCACGATCAGCACAAGTCTGGGCCACAGCTTGGCCAGGACAACTAGGATGGAGCCAATTTATCCTCATTTTCTTTGCGTGTGGAATTTGCTCTTTCTCCCCCAAGGTTGAATCCTCCAGGACTGAGAAAGGTGAGCACTTCAGGAAGCAAGAGGCTGTTTCATACCACTAGACATCTGAAGGTGGTCCCTACCTGTGGATTCAGACAGCCCATACCCCTGTGGTAACATCGGTTTGTGGATTTGTACCCTTTCTGCATGTCTCCTCCTTCTCAGGCTGTGAGTACAAATGCCTCCCTCTAGACTTAGTTGTTTCAAGTCTGATAGTGTGTTTGCATTACCTGGAAGCCTTTTTAGATATTTGGGCATTGTTCTACCAGTTGCTGTCAAGTCAATTTCGACTCATATTGACCCCATGAGTGTCAAAGTAGAACTGTGCTTCATAGGGTTTTCAATGGCTGTTTTTTTGGAAATAGATTGCCAAGCCTTTCTACTGAGGCACCTCTAGGTGGGCTTGAACCTCTAATCTTTTGGTTAGCAGCCAAATGCATTAACCATTTATGCCGCCCAGGGACTCCTGGGCGTTGTGCTAGGCCTATTGAATTAGAATATTTGGGCAATGCTCCTCAGGTGACTGGGCTGAGACTACTGCTCTGTTGTTAGTTGCTGTTGAGCTGATTCTGACTCATAGCGACCCCATGTGTTGCAGAGTAGAACTGTGCTCAGTAGAGTTTTCAAGACTCTCACCTTTCAGAAGCAGATTGCCAGGCCTTTCTTCTGAGGTGCCTCTGGGTGCATTTGAACTTTCAACCTTTTGAGTGCTGAACTGTTTATGCTACCCAGCGACTCCTGACTACTGCTCTTGTCCTCCAATATTGAGTGCTGAGTGCTGTCCCCACCACCTCTCACGTATTGTACGTTGTTAATGAGTCTTCCTCCAATCCTGATGCCACGCTCTTCTTCATATAGTCCAGCTTCTCGGATTATTTGCTCAGCATACAAATTGAATAATTATGGTGAAAGGATACAACCATGAGATATACCTTTCCTGATTTTAAACCATGCAGTATCTCCTTGTTCTGTTCAAACAACTTCCTCTTGGTCTATGTACAGGTTCAGCATGAGCACAATTAAGTGTTTTGGAATTCCCATTCTTTACAATGCTATCCATACTTTGTTATGATCCACACAGTGGAATGCCTTTGCATAGTCAATAAAACACAGGTAAACATCTTTCTGGTATTTTCTGCTTTCAGCTAAGATCCACCTGACATCACATAGTCTTTTAATATTAGGAATGATACTGCTGAGTCAGATCCTCAGGTGTAATATAAAATCTCTCCCTATATTTTGTAATAAAAATATTAAAATATTTAATATAAATATTCAGTTTTCCACAGGACATTGTCAAATATATACTATGTCATTGTAGTATGGATGTACCATAATTTAATTTGTTCTGTATTGAGGGCTATTGGAGGATTCCAATGTTTTACTGTTATAAGTTCTAATGAACATCCTTGTCCATATGTTTTTGAGGATGCAGAAGCTGGATTTGCAATAATGGGAAAGGGAGGAACCCCTCCTCTCTCATTGAGCATTCCTCTCTTGAGTCCATATTTTGAGGAGTCTAGATATCTTTGAGGGAGTTCCTGGGATGGGCACTAAGATGGACTCTTCAAGCCTTGAAGCAACTCTTGTATGGGGCCACAAACTGAAGATGAATATGTTATGGATTGTGAGACAAAGGACGTAATCTGTTAACTCCCTGTCTTAACTTTAAAATCTTATTTAAACATTCCAGCTTTGAACTGACTCTGCTGTGTGGTATTGATGGAAGACTCATATGTTCGCGGTCTTGTCTGATTATTAAAAGGGTTGAACACAAATCCTTCCCACTAGGATGGCGTGGCAAGAGCAAACAGCAAGAAATTACTCAAGGGGAAGCTGGATTTCTGTGGACAAGAGTTGGGGCTGTGAAGTTAGTTTGGCAAATCTTCCCATGCCAAGATTCTCATGCTATCACATTCCTTAGAGGAGCTACATTTTGTTTTTATGGGGGAAAGTGACAATTTCCTACTATAATGGACTGTAGGAGCAGCATGGAAACAACGGGAAGGATTTGAGAGACATGGCAAAGAAAGAATCACAGGACTTGCTCTTAGAAATAAAGGAAGAGGAAGGAGTCTCTGACTACTTTGTGGTTTTGAGGCTAAGTAACTGGAAGAAAGGTGGAGAGTAAGAAACAGGAATAGTGATCTTGGGAGGAATACCGGTTTGGGGAAAAATGCTGAGTTCAATTGCTGTCACATTGAGTTTGAGGTGACAGTGGGGAATATCAAAAAGACACATTCCTCCCTGCTTACTTGGGAGACTGAAACTCATTAACAAACAAACAAACGAACACAAACGCCAATATATCATTAACATCCCTACCCCAACCCAGCACCACAGCCTTCTCCTGGCCTTTTTCCCTTACTTCTGAACACCTGCCCTTCTCCAAATAATTTTCTCCCTTTCCCCTATTTCCAATTCCAAATATTGAGTCGTAGTCAGCCAATGCTCTTTGCCTGTTCTGGTAAGGGTAATATCAGTTCTCTTTTTCAAATGTGAACTCCTCTAGAATGCTTCACCACCTGTTAGCATTTTGTGTATACTCAACACTCCGTCGTACTCTCTAATGGGCTTTGGCTGAGTCTTGCTGTCCTGATGTGCTCGCTCCCAAGAATAAATGAAATGAAGTTTCAGCCTACATTTCCCCAGAGACTCTATAGAGAAGCAGTGGGTCAGAACCTACCTTGTCCTTCACCATTTCTATTCCTATCATGAGCCCTTTGCCTCGGACATCTCCAACAATTTCAAATTCATCCCGCAGCTTAGCAAACTTCAGTAACATATAGGTGCCAACTTCTTGACTGTTTTCCTGCAGACGATCTTCTTTAATCACCTGTTGAGAGAGAGACACAAATAACCTTTCATGAAAAAAATTCTAAAATTGACAGAGAAACATGAAGAGTAAGTGTATATGACCCCCTTTGCAGTAAGTTAGGAGCCCTGGTGGGGCAGTGGTTAATAACTTAGCTGCTAAATGAAAGATCGGTGGTTCAAACGTGCCAGCTGTTCCACGGGAGAAGAGACCTGGCGATCTGCTTCCACAAAGATTGGTGTTGTTATCAGGTGCCCTCAAGTGGGTTCCGACTCATAGTGACCCCATGAACAGCAGAACGAAACACTGCCCTGTGCCATCCTCACAATTACAGCTTAGGAAACCCTAGGAAATCCTAGGAAGTTCTACTGTGTCTATGGGGTTGCTGTGAGTTGGTCTAGACTTGACAACAGTGGGAATGGGCAGTAATTTAATCAGACAAATGGAACCCAAAACAAAGTCTAGTGTAAGCATACCACGTACTACTAAAAGGTTTGCTGCGAGGAGGGAAAATGTCGTGTGGAGGGAATGCATCCTCCACCCTCCACCGTCACCTCAGGAGTATGTAAGAATTTAGGGAAAAATAGAAGACATGCCTTAATGCAGTTGGCCACATAGAAAGCATAATCTTGAGGCTCATTATTGCCAGGCTTTGCCGGAAACTTTATATAGAGGTGATTAAGACACTCTGGCCCTGACTTTCCTTGCATGTGGGGGTAGCCAGGGCCACTCTGAGGAAAGCAATGTCACACGCTCTTGCTCTCCTGGGAGCTTGCTTACTGTTACCCAGAAGCCCTTAGACAGACACAAGCTCTCACAGCCCAAGTGTTCCAATGCGGGGTTCTGGCCTCTTTGGCTGAGCTGAGGCCTGTGTGGGTCCAGAGCCAGGACACTTGATGACATAAAATGATTTCACCTAAGTTCTGCTCACAGCAAAAACCTGTGATTCTTGACAATATAGATGAAATATTCTGTACTTGTATTTAGCCAATAGTAATTGCATGACTCCAGGCAAGCCTTGACATTTTTAAGACCTATTTGTTCATTTAAGTCCTCTCTACCTTCTAAATTGGTTGAGGTGACATAAACACTTACTAAACAAGTCAGCAATGGCTTCCAAGTGAAGTGACACATTCCTACCCACACTTTCTCTTCTCATGATTTTATCATATTTGCAGATAATGATTTAATTAGCAAGGACAGCTTTTACTTATTTTTTTATTTAAAATGTGTTGAAATTTAAATTTGTGAATAGGTAAACTTTTTGAATGGGTGGATCATGGTTCAAAAATCAGAAAATATAGCTACCCCATGTGACAGAGTAGAACTTCCCCATAGGGTTTTCTAGGCTATAATCCTTACTGGAGCAGATCACCAGGCCTTTCTTCTGTGGAGCCAGTGGGTTGGTTTGAACCACCAACCTTATGATTAGTAGCTGAGAGCTTAACATCCAGAAATACCTTACACTTTTTTTTTTTTTTTTTTTTTTAAAGCAAGTGCTCTTATGTATATTAGCCAAGGGCATTTAAAAAACCTTTTTCTTCAAATGAAACCCCAGGCCAAATCAATAGGGTATGGCTGAACTGTATTTCACAATAGCTGAATTATGGAGTTAGTCATCACATAGAACTCAGTTTCTCAGTAATCATTTAATTTATAACAGTACAACAAAAAGAAGGAAGGAAAAATAAACAAGACAGGGCTAAAATTAAATTGAAAACAAGGATAGCAGTTAGTAAATATCCACAAAACGTTACCCCGATAATGAAGAAATTACAGTGCCACCAGCTGGCAAGAAAAACCCTTATACAGGTAGTCCCCGACTCACGATGTATTCCAGTTATGATGAATGGCATTAACGACTGTCTTCTTTTTTTTTTTGTACATCTTATAGTTAGTGATATATAGTACATACATGTTGCAGTGTGTAATTTGCTGATGCTATTGTTCTCAGATGTTCACTCACAGATGTTCAAAGACCAGGTTTATAAAGATACTGACAATAAAAGGTAATAATAACGAAAACTAAAAAAGAAAAATGAGATATTCAACTTATGTCAGAACCAACTTATGATGGAGTTGTCGGAACGGAACCCCCTCGTAAGTCGGGGATACCTGCAGTAAAACCTGTGAAAGCTGAAACCTGTGTAAGGCAGAGAAGGGAAACTCAAATGTTTTCCACTAAAATGAGCAATAGAAAAGTGGTAAGACTGCACCCTGTCAAAGGCAGAAAACTTGCGAGACCTGGAAAAACAAGGCACTCCCATCGAGTTCTGGCTCTCACAGGTTTCACTGTATTTCCCACGTATATGAGGTTTATTATATATTACTTCTTATCAATACTTCAAGCACCCAAGGCAGATCTTAAAATAGGGGGGAACAGAATAACTCCTGGAAACCTAGCATAAATTCATGAGCTGGTAATAACTCTCCACTTTAATAAAGTAATGTGATAGGGCTCGGTGTCTGTGTGTTTGAAATGCATAGCAGGTGATGTTAACTTGGCTTCTGGAAGGTACCTCAAGCACAGCTGAGCCGATGGCACAGGCCATAGGGTTCCCTCCAAAGGTGTTGAAGTGAAGTACGCGTTTAGCCAAAGACTTGGCAATCTCTAGGGGGAGAAATCAAATGGTTGATAAAGAATGACACATTCCATCACGAAATTCAGTTTACGTTTACTTTTATGTTGTAAATGGCATCATTTCCAATTCATTCTTCACCCACCTAACAGTGAAAAAAGGATAACAAAATGTTTAATGTATTGTGTGAATTAAAAAGTACCTTAAAACTTGATTTATGGGAATTTACATGGAACGTTCAATTAGCTAAATCTTTTTTATTGTATTCTGCTCTTGGAACTAAGAAGGAAATATCATGAAAACAATTTCACATCAAGGATTTAGTGACATAATTTCTGGATTGTTTCACAGAATATATTCGTTTCATGATACTTCTCTCCTACATTCACACTTTTGTAACTTTATTCATTCAATCCACCATCTATTTGCCAGTTTGTCTTACTGTGGTGACTTGCATGTTGCTATGATGTTGGAAGCTATGCCAAATGATATTTCAAATACCCGCAGGAGCACCCATAGTGGACAGGTTTCAGGGAAGCTTCAAACTAAAACAGACTAGGAAGAAGGGCCTGGCCATACACTTCTGAAAATTAGCCAGTGAAAGCCCTGTGGATCACAGCAGAATATTGCCTGATAAGAGTGCTGGAAGGTAGTACAGGACTGGGCAATGTTTTGTTCTGTTATCTGTAAGATTATCATGAGTTGGAGCCAACTCTATGGCAGTTAATAATTTCTTTGATAAAATTGCTGAGATACCACAAAACCCATTGCCATCGAGTTGGTTCCCACCCATGGCGACCCTATAGGACGGAGTAGAACCGCCCCATACAGTTTCCAAGGAGCAGCTGGTGGATTTGAACTGCCGACCTTTTGGTTAGCAGCCTTAGCTCTTAACCACTGTGCCAGAGATACTACAAGGCACTTAATTATCCTTTAGTTCCTCTGCAGTATGGTTACTGTTGGTGGGAAAAACAAACGAAATGATTTTAAGATTTTCAACAATAAATCGTTCATAAAAAATTATTTTCTGGAAAACTTTATGAAGATAGAAAATGAAGTTCATTCTAATGTTCATTTCCCAGAATGTTATGCCTAATCAACTAGAACTGTATTTGGGTGTTTTATTGATGAGTAAACTGTTACTCTGGACCTTAAGTCTATAGTTTATTGATGTGGCAAGACCAAATAAGCATCTCCTTCAAGAATATGGCTCCCATGAAGTTTCAGGGTTGGTTTTGTTTTGTTTTCATTGTGGAGCGGGGAGGTGGATGGTCTTATAGCAAGAGCAGAAAGGGTTGTCTTTCTTCCATCTGCTCCACAATCTGGCAGGCAGACTGTTTCTTTCATTTGCTTGGAAATGGCCTGTGTAGTTCCCATAGGTTCAAATGTGGAAGTGTTTTATACCATCGTCAGTGCAGGGGGCCCAGAAGCATGCAAAAACCGCCCGAAGGTTGTACCTGGAGTTGTCACAACTGCTGCCATGGGAAAGCCATTCCCAATCCCTTTAGCCATGGTGACAATGTCAGGCAGGACATCATGGGTTTGGAAGCCCCAGAAGTGAGAGCCCAACCTTCCAAATCCTGTCTGTACCTGATGGGAACAAATTCAAAACCATTGGAAGCCTTTCAAGAAATGTTGGTTTTTCTGACTCTTCGATATCTTCCCTTTCCTCTTTTTCCACCTCCTCCTCCTCGTCAATATCATCATCACCATTATCATCAGCATCATTGTATACTTGTGCACAAAGCACTTAACCCGTGCCTGAGCTTTTGGGCACCTCTGCTAGCTTTGTGTGATTCTGGATATGTTTCTTAATTTCTCTAGGCCTCTGTTAACTCATCTAATACTAATAATAATATGTCACAGGGCTGCTGTGAGGGTCATATACATAATGCACATGAAAGGGATCATTATATGATTTTTTTTTTTTAAAGAAATAAATAGATTGCTGTAGACTCAATTCCAACTCATGGAACCGCCCTATAGAATTATCTTGGCTGTAATCTTTACAGAAGCATATTGTCAGGCCTTCTGTCGAGCTGCTGAGTGGGTTCAAACTGTCAACCTTTAGGTTAGTAAAACCAAAAACCAAACCCATTGCAGTTAAGTTGATTATGACTCATAGTGGCCCTATAGGACAGGGTAGAACTGCCCCATAGGGCTTCCAAGGAGCAGCTGGTGGATTCAAACTGCTGACATTTTTGGTGTGCAGCTGAGCTCTTAACCATTATGGCACCAGAGATCCTTTAGTTTACTAGCTGAGTGCAAACCACTTATACTACTCAGGGACCTTCATTATGATTAGCAATCCTTAACAAGGACGTCCTGCGTATAATGGGCATGGTAGGAGGGCAGGGGAGGGAGGAGAGGGAAGAAGCTGGATCTGCCTCAGGCTGGACAAAGCGAGAGTTGTGATTGAGTAGGGCTGGGGCCTTTGCTGCTTGGCCCAGACGCTTCCCAGCCCAGAGAGGTTGGTCATCCTCTTCCCTGAGATCCCCTTTCCTTCCTGAGACTTGCCTTTTGAGGAGGACTCAGCTGAGCCAGTTAACTCTGGAATGAACTCCTCTAATCTGGAAACTGTGGAAATTTGGACCGAAAGTTGATCTTGGCTTTGAGATTTTGTGCATGCTGTTCCTTTTCTCTAGAAAATGCTCTCCTTCTTCGTCTCGCGAACTCCTTTTAGTCCTTCAAAACACGGCTTTTCCTGAGTCCCAGTAAGGTTACTTGCCATCAATGTACTGGGTATGCTGCCATCAAACCTGTCACTGTGAACTCTTATCACCAATGTCTATGTCCGATAGAGGGACCGCATCTTATTCCTCTCTATATCCCCAGCACCTAGCAGAGTGCCTGATACAAACTGAGGGTTTGTAGAATGAATGAAGGATTGCTGAAAGTGCTTAACTGAATACAGCAACACAAACATCTCCATGCAAATGTCTGCTATAGACTTTCTGGGGAAGGATCCTTCCTCTCTTTCTGTCTCTCTGTCTCTATACATACACACATTACAGGTCAGTAATAGGAGTGCGGGCACTTGAGGCTGATTCTGAAATACATTTTAAGGGACACATTTCTTTCTCAGCCTGCCTTCTCATTTTCCCTACTGTATCCAGCGTGCTGCTGCAAAGGCAGATTTCAGGGGCTAGGATTAGATGGTAGTGACCAATGTAAAAGAAAAGCTTAGACATGGGAATCAGACAGACAGACCTGGGCTCAAGTCCTGGCTCTCCTACTTTCTGCTTACGGGCCTCCAGGCAAACTGATTAATTTGACCAAATGAAATAACATGGGAAGAACTCATGGAAAAATCAATCCATTTTGTCTTCCTGCCTACCTTTCTTCCTTATTCCATCTATCTATACACCATAAAAAATGGTATAAATGATAACAGATTATTTAGTGAATACATGAAATCATGTAGGACAATATATCATGTTTAATCACCTAGGAAGTATCAGTTTCATCGACTTTTAGAGTGGGCCAGAAATCACCCATGCTAAGGTTTATAAATTCAAATGTCTTCGGAGGTGAGAGAAGCAGCCTGGGTCTACTACAACCAGGAGCAGAGGAGGGGACTGTGGGACCTGGGGTGTGCCGGCTCTGCCAAAATGCAGCCAATTTCAGATCGAAAACGTAGTTCATGCCAGATCAGCAGAGACTGGCTGGCCAGTTTGGCCCTAGTTGCTGCCAGTTCTCTATCTTTGATTCCAAATCCTCCATCTTCAAGAAGAGCATACTAATGCTAATTGAGATGAATTGTACAAGGTCACTTGTGTGGCAGAACTGGCCCTGATGCTTAGGTTTCCTATCTTCTGTTTCATTCTACTCTGTCATACTTTGCCTTTCTACACCACCACCCAATCATTCTTGAGGGACAGCTTGGTAAGGTGGTTAGTAGTGTAGTCTTGGGAGCCTGGATTTGGGTCCAGGCTATGTCCCTACTAACTGTATGACCTTGACAGGTGATTTAACCATCTTGGACTTAAATTCCCTTATCAGTAAAAAGAAAATAATAATAGGACATCCTTTATAGAATTGTTGTAAGTAGTAACTGAGTTTATACATGTAAAATATTATGAATAGTGGCATGTACATAGTTAAGTCTCAGAAAGTTCTAGCTATTCTTATCTTTATCTAGTCATTAGGACAGTCCTTCTCAAGGTCACCTTGTGTTAGGTGGTTTCCAATTAAGTGCTTAAAAGTAATAAAACCACGTATCTTGGAAAATTCTGAAATTTGTATTTCCTTTTAATTCTGTCTACCTCCCCTCTAATTAGTCCAAACTGTGGCAAATTTACTATGTGCTGATTACAAAGGTCAAAGTTTATCCTCTTCATTGATGTAGCTAATTGTAAACTGGCTTAATACACCCTCCTTCTCCTTTTTTAATAGCCAATTAACTTTGTTCAGCTTGGACTTTGTTTAATTCACGTGCCCTGATCTTGCGTGGGCTTGGCAGAAGGAGGCTGACGAAGCTTCCACATGCAGTACACCAGAGATTGTCTACCAAGGAGCTAACAGAGACCTGGCTGCATATGAAGACATTGCAAAAGAATTCTTCTGAGGGGGCAGCCCAACATATGCTGTAGGGACTTTGAAGAAAACTCTTCAGGCAGAGAGGAGCCTGGGTGGCACAAGTGGTTTGTGATGGGCTGGTAACCTAAAGGTTGGCAGTTTGAACTCATCCAGCAGCTCCATGGAAGAAAGGCCTGGTGAACTTCTTCCAAAAAGATTACAGCTGAGAAAACCTATGGAGCAGTTCTGCAACATGTGGAGTCTCCATGAGTCAGAATCAACTCAATGGCAACTAGCAACAACAACTAATTCAGGCAAGGATTGCAGGACTGAAACAGGTATGAAACCTATTCACAAGTTCTCTACTTCTCCTTGGTGGGATCTATCACCTGTTGGAAGAACAAGGATGGGTCATCTAGCAATGGACCAGCTGTCCAGGAGGACTTCTATAGCCCTAAAGACCATCCTCTGGCCTTTTGATCTCCATTGCTTTTCTCAATAGGCCAGGACTGCTTTCCTTAATACACGTTTTTATGCTGCTGTTATTAGGTGCCATCGAGTAGATTCTGACTCATAGTGACCCTATGTGAAAGAGTAGAACTGCCCCATATGGTCTTCTTGGCTGTAATCTTTACAGAATCAGATCATCAGCTCTTTCTCTTGAGGAGCTGCTGGGTGGGTTTGAACTGCCAACCTTTAGGTTAGTAGCTGAGCACTTAACCATTGTGTCACCAGGGTTCCTTATATAAGGTGTAATGAATATAAATTGATTCCTTTTAAAAACACAAGGTCAGAGCTTATATAGCCAATGAATTTTATTCCCTTCAGACTAGTCTCCTTGGAGTACTATAAATTTATTCCAACCATGCTCCCTTAACTCAAACTATTGTAGATTTTTTTTTTGAACTATATTTTGAATATCTGCAATGGTGTTGCTCTTCTAACTTAAACTAGTTGCCGTCAAGTTGATTTCAACCCCATGTGTGTCAAAGTACAACTGTCCTCCATAGAGTTTTTTAATTCATCTGATTTTTCCTCAAATAAGTTGGTGCCAAGGGCTTTATCTTCAGTCTCACTAATTCTGACTTCTATTGCCTCAATTCTGCTTCTATGACTTTCTATTGAGTTGTCTAATTCTGAAATTTTATTGTTAATCTTCTGGATTTCTGATTGCTGTCTCTCTATGGATTCTTATAGCCTATTAAATTTGTCATTATGCTCTTGAATAACCTTCTTAAGATCATCTATTGCTTTGTCTGTGTGTTCCTTAGCATGTTCTGCATTTTGCCTGATCTCCTGAAGAGTTCTGTATGTTAATCTTTTGTATTCTACCTCTGGTAATTCCAAGAAGTTCTCTTCCTCTGGAAAATTTCTTGATTCTTTATTTTGGGAACTTGCTGAAGCCATCATGGTCTGCCTCTTTATGTGATTTGATATTGACTGTTATCTTTGAGCCATCAATAAGTTATTATATTTATTTATTTTATGTTTGCTTAGTGTGTCCTAGCTTCTTGTTTTGTTTTGTTTTGATATGCCCAAATACACTGCTCGTGTGAGCTAGTTTGATTATCAGCACCTTTGAAGCTCTAAGGTCCTGTCACTGGGTGGTTAGATCTGTTACTAGGCATGTGAGCCCAGGAGTCTGTTTACTTTTCTTGTATGACTTCAGCTCAGGTGTCCAGGTAGTCAGTCACCAAGTGTGTGGTACTGGCTCTTAGCTATAGTCCTAGACAGGCATGGGTGATTGGTGTAGGCACAGGTATCTGGCTGCAGTAGGGGGTCACAAGTTGAGCAAGGCAAGCGGCTGACGGCTACCCCTGAGTGTCTGGGAGGAAAACATGTCCCTGTTCCCTAGAGCATGTAGGTGGATGGGTTTTGCAGCTGGACTATGAGCACCCAATGCTATTCGCTGTAAGGACTAGGGTGCACCACTTATTCTTGGACCCCTGTCATGGGTGGCTAGGTGGTATGGATGGAGTCACCAGTCCTAAGGCCCCTGATGTGGGTAGGTGAGGACCCTGCTTAATAGGCAGAGCAATAGATAGAGCACTGTCAAATGTCATGAACCTGGCACTTCACCATATAGCTGAAACCGTTGAAGTTAGACTTCAGGTATATATCCTGTTGCACTGTGGTAATGAGGGCCTATGCTGTTGAAATGGGCCCACACAGGCCCTCCGTAGAGTTTTTAATGGTTAATTTTTTGAAGTAGATCATCAGGCCTTTCTTCTGGAGCACCTCTGGGTGAACTCAAACCCCCTACCTTTCAGTTAGCTGCTGAATGTGTTAACCATTTGTACCACCTAGGAACTTCTATCTAGAGCTTCTTATATTTTTAAAAAATATCATTTGCAGGCAAATTTTTCCAGTAAGGTAAGGTGAATGCTGCCAGTTTGGTTAATACTATTTTGGTAAAAATTAAGACTTAATCTGCTCCTGAATAATTCCCAACAGAAATTTTAAGTATATGTTGAACACTATGCCTGTTAGTAACTTATTTGATAGACATAAATTTGGATATTTAAGTTCTGTTGTACTTGTTAAACCAACCAACTCATCCCCTAACAAACCAACCAGCCAACTAGCAAAAGCTTCATAAATTTATAGCCACACCACGGACTTCCCATATTAGATGCTTTCTGCCTGGGATACAGAGAAGGTGTTAAAGAAGTTTCTCTCTGTGCCTTTCCTGTCCCCATTTGCAGTGAATTGCATCTATTACATTGCCACTCACTTCATCTGCAATGCATACGCCTCCCCTCTCTCGCACCAGCTCGAAGGCTTCCTTTAGAAACCCTTTTGGGTACTGAACAACTCCATTCACTCCCTGCAAAAGACCAAGCCAAGAAGACCTATAATCACAGCACAAGCTCTAGGAACATTTTAAAAAGTGTTTTCTTTAAAGATTGGATCATTATCTTCATTGTCGTTAGTGATAGAAGCAACTTTAAAAACAGTCTGCAAAACTCTCATCTGCAGATGAAAAGAGAGGCATTACTCTTATGTTGTGTCTTCTGGAAAAAAGGATGCACATGTTCATTCTTTCCTGAGATAAGAAAAAAGTTGAATCACAGGATTTGGTGAGATTAAAGAAAGGCTCCCCTGATACTGTATTAAGCGACTAAATATTGCTGAGGTTTCCTTTTCTGAAGAATTTTAGAAAGTCAATAGCTTCATCTATCTGTTCAGTCTGGGAATAGAGGAAATAGTTTTTTAAAGGTCAACCAGAAATCAGCGACCCTCTTTTTTTCAAGGGGAGGAAGAGAATGAATTGAATTTAGAGAGGGACACAGAAATGGGCACTTAACATTCTTTGGAATTCTGTAGAATGTATGAGTTAAAACTCCCAGATAATTTAAAAACTCAGCTGAATTAAGGTCTAATATTAATATACCCACTTGAATTGGCTCTGCAAAAAATCCAGCAATTGACTTGGCCACAGAAGTGTTCAGAGTATCTTTGAACTGTTCAATATACTGGTCTTTGGCTTGGCAGCAGTCTAGAAAAAAACAAAACAAAACAAACAAACAAAATCCCAGCGTTTGAAGATGTGAGAATGACATCCAAAACAATGGGGAAAAACAGAAAAAAAGAATAGAGAACAGGCTGAGTGAATTAATTAGAGTCCCTCAAAATACAGTCACCAGGATATAAAGATGTGGATTGCTGAAGGGGGAACATTCTGTCAGAATGACTTGTACTTTGGCACAAAGGAGATTAAGATAGCCATAAAGACAGTGACAAACCAATTCAGTCATTTCCATCTTGGGAAGAAATGCCCCAAAGTATTATTGGGTCTGGAATAGGTAGCTAAGGATATCTATATTCTCAATGGGTAGATTTAATTCTAGTGTAACTGGGGTGCAGATTTAATCTTTTTGAAAATAACTCTATTTTGTTTACCTTTTATAGACACTTAACATACAATATTAAAGCTACAAAAATCTCAGTTTTGAGAATTAGTAAGTATTGTTATAAAACAATTAGAACTCAGTCTAAAGAGGAATGTTCTGGAGTCAGATTACTTTCATCCATTGCAGCCCTTGCCACTTTGTACTGTACTTGTTGTTTACCAGTCTTTCTTCCCTTCAATTAAAAACTTTTTTTGGGAAGGAACTATACTGTGTTCATTTTTTGAAATCTCTGTTGATGAGCAAACCGTCTGGTACATTGTAGGTGGTCAATAAATATTTATTAATTAAGAGGGAAATAAATAGTAGAAAGCATGGTTGCTGTGAGACATTAAGGAATTTCACTTGAAGGTTTTTCTTATCTGGGAAGGACGTTAAGTGCTCTTGTTCGAATGACATACCTTTCAGCTCATTGATTTTCTTTTTGGCTGGATCAAATCTGCTGATAAACTTACCCATTGAATTTTATAATTTCACTTATTATTTTTTATTAGAATATATTCTTTACCAAAACCTGCTTTGTCATTCTTTATAGTTCCTTATCCACTGCACATATTTTCAAGCTTATATTTGATTTTCTTTAAACATATTTATTTTAAAATGTGTTTGATAATTCCATTATTTGAAATTCTTTTGGGTCTGTTTCTTGATTGTGGCATTTGCTTTTCTTGTATGTTAGTTAATTTTTACTAGGATTGTTTATTTTGCTTGGGAATTCATTTGTGATGAATTCTATGAGGCCTAGAGTGAGGTAGGTTCCTCTAGAGAATATTTGCATTTGTAGCTTCCAGACACTTAGGGCATGACCAGCCTAAGATTCCTCTAAATTATCAGCTTGAGGTAGTGAGAGTTCAGAATACTAAGCCTCATGATGGCCAGTCTGTAGTTCAAATTTTCAGTGGTGATTCCTCCCCACAAGCTACACCACTTGCACTCAGCACCAGAATCCTTGCAGACCTTTCAGTGGGTGAGGTGTTGTTGTTGGTGATAGGTTTATTTCTAGTTGACCCATGAGTGAGGGTGTGGCCTGTTTGGGGTTCCAGTTCTATGGCGGGTTGGGGGTGTCTCCAATTTGATCTTCTTTGTTGGCTGGGCCCTGGGCTTTTTTATTTGTTCCCTGCATTCCATAGAGCCATAAAAAATGAAGCTCAAGTTCCCCAAATTTGGCAAATGCGCAAAGGGCAAAAGCTGCCTGCGGTCCTCTGCTGACCTCTTTGGGTTCCTGAAAATTCTTGCTTTCTTGTATTGGTGATTTGAAGGGATAATTTTCATGTTTTACCCAGGATTTTTATTTGTTTTCAGCTGGAGACTACCTAGGCTGTCATATTATTGTTCATCCCATTCAATTGTCAGTAATATTAACTATGTTTACATTCCCATTGTGCTTAAAGATTCTAGAAACATTTCTGCCTGTGGTGATAGAATCTTTGATAGCTATAAGCTTCACCATGCAGGCCAACAGATGTGAAATCCTGTGGGCAGTAGGGGGCAAGAGAAAAAGGAGACGATTTGCTGCAGTGGGATGGATTGCTTTTGTGTGACCTTTCTCTCTATGGTCTTGTACTCCCACCCAAGTGATTGGGGGACTGTGCAAATAAGGTAATCGTGGCCCATCAAGGGCGTTGGTCAGTTTTGCCATCCTGCTAGGCTTAAAGTGAGCCATCCCAGAGACAGGAAGGGGAGGATCTCACCACCACCAAGGAAGAAGAGCCAGGAGTGGAGCATATCCTTTGGACCTGGGATCCCTGTGCTGAGAAGCTCTTGAAGCCAGGAAACAGAGAGAGACAGAGACACACAGAGAGAGAGACAGAGAGAGAGAGAAAGCTGTAACACGGAAGATGGCAAGAAGCAGTGGCAGAGAAACGGTGGCAGGAGACACTGGGAGGAGATGGCAAGATGGGCTTCCTGGCCCACAGAGGGAGAGAGCTGAGTGCTTTCAGGTAGGAGGCTTACTGGTGGAGTAGGATGCCTCCTGGTACTTGGTGGAACTAGGTTTGCTGACCTATGGAGGTAGAGCTGAGCGCCATAGGCTGAGGCTTACTGGTGGAGTGGGATGCCTCAGGGCACTTATTGGCAGAGCTAAATAGCTTTGTAACACTTGGCCCGAGCAGGGCTGAGGCCAAGGGCAAGAGAGAGATATGTCTGCAGGCACAGTTGAAAAGAGGCTGTCCTGATTGAAGAACTGTATCCTGGGCATTCCTGAACCTGAATTGTAGCCTGTTACTTCCCTAGTAAACCCTATAATTATGAGTATTGTCCGTGAGTTCTGTGTGGCCACTGCAATGAAATTATCGAACTCAGCAGAGAAATAGAGAGTGTGGTGGGGGAGGATGGTTGGTGTCGGAATTGATAAAGATGGTGGACAGAGGAGGCAAGTCTGACCTGTGCCTCATAGGAATCAGCCTTGGGCTGTTAATCTTGATTCTCCTTCCCGCTGGTAAAGTTAGAGGAGGTCAGATGCCGCCCTTATGCCATTTTTACAATTGCCCATAAGGATTGCCCAAACTCCAGAAGCCTGCCAGAAGCCTGCCACCATGTCATCATTAAAATTGGGAACCAGCAGGGGAACCAGCAAAGCCATGGAGAGGAATCCTTCTCCTCTGGAATACCAAAAGTCCCAAGTCAACTGCGTTCATAAGTGACAGAACATTCAGAATTTTCACATGCACCTGAAATTTGGTTCTAAACAACACTATTCAGTCTCTGAATGTCTACACTTCAACCCATATCCATGGAAGCAGAAGGGGGATGTGGATGTGATGGGAGGACTTAACACCACTGACAGTGAAAACAGTCACCACCTGCCATCCTAATGCCCACTTAGTGACATGGATGTCTCCTGAAGGCTACAGATAAGGAACAGAAACCTTCAGTAACCGCCACCAAAAGTGGAGCAGAAATATATTAGCCCTTCATTAAAAGTGGAAGAAACACCAATTGGCCCCAAATATCTTTTTAGGCTACATGTGATATTTGGGAAAGTTTGCTTGGCAGAGGCTGGGGCTTGGGAATGTTGAGGGGGTGTGAAGATGAGGCTTGGAGATATGAAGACGGAAGTAATGACAAGAATACTAAACACAGAAAGTACATATTGTAGCATCATTTACGCTGTTTCAATGGGCAGCACGTAGTAGACAAATCTATGCCTCTAGAAATTGAAATTCCTTACTTTTATTAGGAGAGAGAGAGAAAACAGCCCAGGAATACCCTAAAGGAAAGATCAGACATATGTTCAAAAGATATAATTTTGAAATTTTGGCAAGTCCATTTGTAACTAGAGGAATCAAATTTGGAGCAAAATCAACCTCAGTGGCTTAAATTTGGGCAAACCAAACCAAGAGAAGGCTTTGCTTGAACTGTGTTGACCTTTCGGGATTTTCTGTCCACTGCCCACAAGCTCAGTGATGAGCAGGGTCATGTACTGTAATCAGCTTTTTACTTCATTTCACGTTTACTTCATTGGCACATGGTGTAACGTCAGGTCAGATTGCCTCTAGAGAGAGATTTCACTTTTAGTGCATCCGTGTTACCATGGCAACATCAAGGGGGTGGAGAGTGGATGCTCTGCTGGAAGAGATGCAAGCAAAAGAGTGGAGATGGAAGAACTTTTATTTTTGCTGGTGGTACAGAAAGAGTTAGGCAGAGAGAGGAGCAAAGAAAGAACAACAATTTTTTAGAAAAAGGAAATTTGTCTTTCAAAAGGAGAGTGACATGATCACTATCAAGGTCAGGGCACTCTAGGGTGATCAAAGGTGGATTTCATCATGGGTTAGATCTGAACTTCAGGGCCTGAATGAACAACTGAAGCAAAAAATTCTGGAGAGTAGGGTGTGAGAAGATAATGAAATCTATCACATAAACATCTATATTGTTGTTAGTTGCTCAAGTCTATTGTTGTAGCCACTGTCATTTTGAATGCCTTCCAAGCTAGGGGCCTTGTCATCCAGCTCTATCGTGAACATTATTCTGTTGTGATCCACAGGGTTTTCACTGGCTAATTTTGAAAAGTCGATAGCCAGGCCTTTCTTAGTCTGTCTTTCAGGTCTGTGTTAGTCTGGAAATTCTGCTAAAACCTCTCCACCATGGGTGACCCTGCTGGTATTTGAAATACTGGTGGTATAGTTTCAGTGTCACAGTAACGTGCAAGCCACCACAGTACAATAAACTGACAGACAGGTGGTGGAACATCTATATTAGATCTACAAAATGGATCCCTCACCAATGCTGGGAATGATGACATATTTCTGAAGTGAAAAAAATCCTATCAGGTTTGCCCTGTATGTGCCCAGTGAACCAATCCTAAGAGAAATTGAGAACTGGGACTGTCTGTACCCACAATCCTTTCCATGTTGGGATGTGTTGGTAAACATATATGATACACTTGTTTTACAACAAAGAACAAACACTTTCCAGGCTCTAAAAGCAACAGAGAAGGCTGGTGTATTCTAGTTATATTTAAAGATTTGAGATCAGTTGTGTTTCTTGAAGATCTGAGTTAAGAAAACAGATGGCCTAAGAAAACAGTCCAGAGAAGCAGAAATGTCTGTCTGTCACTATCATTTAGCTTCCGAATGCCACTAGAGGATGATCACAGGGTTCTGGTATTTTCAAGTTTCCCTAAGGCAGATGAGAAGGCCTCAAAGAGGTAGGAAGCAGAAAGGGTGGAGAGAGAGATAGAGACAGACAGAGAGAGAGAGCTACGTATAGTAGGGAGGGGATGAAAAATCCATTTTTTGAGTGCTGCTATGTGCTAGAAGGATCTCTGGTAGCGCAATGGTTAAATGTTTGGCTGCTAACCTAAAAGTTGGTGATTCAAACCCACCTAGCTGCTCTGCGGGAGAAAGATCTGGGATTGGCTTCTGTAAAGATTACAGCCTATAAAATCCTGTGGAGGCAGTTCTACTCTGTCACATGGGGTTGCTATGAGTTGAAAATCAACTTGACAGCACACAGCAGCAACAATAACACTGTGTACTAGGCTCTGTTCTGGTGGTTTTGCAGTTAGACCAGGTCTTTGAGATGCATTGAAATGATTTTAGTCCTCAATGCCATATAGATTGGATATGTAGATATGGTTTTACTTGGCACTTATATAATCTGCCTCACTCTATGAGAAGTCAAGGTGTATGGTCTCTATCACTTGCTATCATAAAGCCCTGTAATATAGGGGTGGGGGAGGCCAGATATGGCTCTCTCCATTTTACAAATGAGAAAAATGAAGGCAAAGATGGAACTCTTGCTCATAGCTGGACAATGGTGGGCTGGGAGTAGAATCCAGATTACTTGACTTCATGTGTCTCCTCAATTCTGGCCAGCAGACCAGGACTTGTTTTTAAGCCTGGGTTTATCCATATGGCACATCAATGTGAATGAGAGTGATTCTAGGCATTGCGAGCACTGGCTTTGGAGTCAGAAGACCTGAGGTCAAATCCTAGTTCTCCCACTTCTGAGGTATGGACCACGTTCTTCACCTTTAATATGGAGAGTTTGAATTATAGCTTTAAACTTCCTTCTGATATAAAATTCTCAATTCTGTGGGCATGACACTTTGTCTTGTTCCAATGCTCATTTTTCATCCTACCTACATTTTGCCATTATCCCATCTGAATTTTAAGATGACTGTGAATTTTCTTCCTTTTAAAGCTGATATTTAACACTTCTATCTTGCATTCTTCCTCTTTACCCAGTGACTCATATTTTCCATTAAGGATGTTTGGGCTGGAGTGTTTAGTTCTTTAGAAAAGTACTTAAGACCAAATATTCAAGAGGTCCTGTACTGTGATGACATGTTAGGCAAGACTTGGTGATCAGCAAATGGCAGATTCCATTTCCATGCCTCCTCTCCTTCATGGTAAGAATAAGAATGCAAATAAAAATGAGGTTGACACATAGAAATTTTCCTTGTGAGAATGCCTTTAAAATTTTTGCAAGAGAGTTGGCAGCCTTGAAGAAAGCTCTGGTGTTTTGACAGATGCTGTCATGTTGGCTGGCATTCTGGGTCCCTGGAGGACTTCTTGACTGGAATTTTGAGATTCCTAAAAGTATTCTTTTCTTTCTCCCCTTCTTCCATTGGGAATTGGTAAATAAGTTCACAAACCTCATTTTCTTTTAAATTCAATGCCAGAGCTATTGCTAATAGATCACAAGATTCAAGACTGCCCCTTGGTTAAGTACCAAGTGATGGTTTGTTCTTTAATTAGTTTTGATAGCACGAGATACTTTTCCTACACAACCAGACAAACTCAGACAGTAAAGTGGTTCCAGTTGCCATCGAGTTGACTTTGACTCATGGTGACCCCATGTGTGTCAGAGTAGAACTGTGCTCCATAGGTTTTTCAATGGCTGATTTTTCAAAAGTAGATTGCCAGCCTTTCTTTCAAGGTGCCTCTGGGTGAACTCAAACCTCCAACCTTTCCATTAGCAATGGAGAGCATTAATTGTTTGCACCACCCAAGGACTCATGGTAAAGCTGTAGTCGGCATGAGAAATGTTATTTCAAGGAAGGATTACTTTCTAGCCTTGTTTCCTTTGCCTTTTCCATTTCCCAGTTTTCCAAATGTGACTGTTCACTCAGGAATGGTTCTGCCTTTCTCCAAGTTCCTTACTCCTCCAGACTTTCCCCTATTCCCTCCCTTCTTGCCCAGTTGGACCTGTTGCACAGTTGCATTTCCTAATTGTCTGTACTGGAGAATCTCGACAGTGACTTCCTCCCCAGGGACCACGGAAAACATCTGGACACATGGTCTGCAAATGACAAAAGAGAATTTGGCAAGACAGGAACACAAGCTGGCCAATTTGGGGTAGCATTTGGTACCGATCAAAGCAAGAGGACTTCTTAATTTGATATTGAGATTCTCCCACCCCCTCACTCCTTCACCACTTAGGAAGAAAACCTAATATTCTGCTATGAAGAGATAATTTTCTTCTTAGAAATCAGATACATGGACACTCTATAAAGGAAACTGATTTCAGTGCTAGCCTTACTCAAGGGTTTGGTGGGTAGGGGCAGCTGAAAAAGAATAAGAAAAATTAGGTGTCTGATTGTGATGTTGAAAAGGTGAGCACAGCAAGTGAGAACAGAAGGTGAGTGTGGTGATGACTCAATAGAAATTTTGTGTACTCAAGGCTCTGAGAACTAATTTCAATGCATTTATTTCCAGTTTACTTGATTTAATTTAAAAGCAAAACAAATAATAACAAAAAACCTATCATTAATTATTGTTCAGATTCTGAAGTCCTTTCTAAGAAATATTTCCCCCAAATGGTCTTCAATTCACTTGCATCCAATTGAGTCCCTGATTAATGGCAGATTTTATATTAATTTGTAACCTGAATACCAGGAAATTCTGAACAATTATTCCACAGACCCAGCAGTTTTTAGAGAAACAAGACACAAATACCCAAAACTCACTGCTTGGCAACCCATTCCACTGGGGAGTTCCATCTTGTAGGATCCTACATTTGTCAAGCCCAGTGTGTAAGGACTACATCCATGGTAGGCTCCTCTGCAGAGAGAAAACAATGGGGGTAGGGGGTTTAAGCTCATTTTCTTCAATCAAAGGACTATGGAAAACTGAGTAGGACAAAAGAGAAAACACATGAAAGCTATGGAGATGAAACAGAGCACCACTAATATTCAACTCCAGTGATTTCTAAGAAATCATCACGCCTATGCCAGGTGAATTTACTTATTTATCTTTTTTTATAGGTGTCAGAAATTTGAAATGCTAAAAGGAATTTTGTACATCATCTGGCCAAGGACTCTGACCTGAGGACGTACCCTATTACTCTAAAGTAATGAGACCAGTCTTATAGCAAACATACCAGAAATTACATGTTCGATGAGTATTATTCTTCAAAATGGAGCCCCTGGGTGGTGCAAATGGTTAATGCACTCAGCTGCTAGCCGAAAGGCTGGCAGTTCAAGTCCACCCCGAGGAGCCTTGGAAGGAAGACCTGGCAATCTACTTCTGAAAAGTCATAGCCATTGAAAATCCTATAGAGCATAGTTCTACACACATGGGGTTGCCATGAGTCGGAGCTGACTGGATGGCAACTGGTATTCACCTTGGGAAGCCAGATATTTGTTCCAGTAGTTGCCTTGAGAAGCTGGATATTTGTTCTTGTGATGTTAATTAATATCTTTGGGAATTCCTCCCTAAGTGTCTTGTAAGCCACCTTATTAGGCATATGAGAAACACAGATGTTTGTTTTTTCAACCTGAAATAGTTATATTAAGTATAAAGCATCTGATTCACCAACTTTGGCTTCAAACATGTTTTGGCAATTTCCTAAATCAAAACCACCCTTAAACTATGAGGATGTAGGACTATTAAGACTATTCAAAACAAAGAGGAGACACAAACATGTGTTGAACCCTGGTAGCACCTGACTGCTTCCTGCAGATCAATCCTTGTCACTGACACACATATTCCGGAATGTTTATTTAGGTAAAACATCAATCAAAATTCTTTATTGCCATACTTCTTTGATAGCAGATGTTTCCTTAGCCCAGTGCTGTAAGGTAATAACTGTGTGTGTATTTTGTATGAAATTTTGTATTACATGTAATGTTATTAGGTTGAAATCAATCTTCCTTTGCGTTTAGACAGAAATTACGGCCCCAAAGCAGGAAAAATGAGAATATTCTTTTCATCAACTTTTTTTATAAGTCACTCCTGTCTTTTATATAAACCTTATAAGCATCTGTTTAAATTTGCTGTATAAAATCATCCAAAGGACACAACTGTGAGCAAAATTCTTGGTTTTCTATTATTTTTAACGCTAACATAGCCATCAGGGTTTATAATAAATCTACTGTTGCTGTTGTTGTTAGGCGCCATTGAGTCGGTTCTGACTCATAGCGACCTTATGTACAACAGAAGGAAACATTGCCTGGTTCTGCACCATCCTCACAATCATTGCTGTGTTTGAGCCCATTGTTATAGCCACTGTGTCAATCCATCTCATTGAGGATCTTCCTCTTTTTCGCTGACCCTCTACTTTACCAAGCATGATGTCCTTCTCCAGGGATAGTCTCTCCTGATAGCCTTCCAAAGTACATGAGATAAAGTCTCGCCATCCTCGCTTCTAAGGAGCATTCTGGCTGTACTTCTTCCAAGACAGATTTGTTCATTCTTCTGGCAGTCCACAATATATTCAATATTCTTTGCCAACTTCCTAATTCAATTAATATATTAAATTATTGATTCTCTAAAATCATCCAAAGAAACAGAAATATGCAGGATTAAAATGTGAAACAATGACCCACTGGCTCTATGAGTACCTGATTCCTTGTCATCAGCAGAGATTAAAATGGGCCTAGTGCCATAAGATAGAGCCATGAGATTCTCTGGGCATAGAGAAGTCATTCAGTACTTGGTATATGTTGTAGTCAATACTACATCTTCAAAGTAAACAAACAAACAACCTGTGATCTTCTTGTCAATTCCATTGGAAGACCTATGACTTAAGGAGGATTCCAAGCTGTTGATGACCCCAGCCAGGGGCACTATCTTGGATTAGGCCAATTTGGATGGGACTACCCTGTCATAAAGTTCATTTGATTGATCCTGCCTTAAAACCTAAAATTAGAAAAATTCCCCTAGGAAAGCCTCTTGCCATATTTTAAGGACACATTTTGTGTTATGGTAAGTCAGTGCTACTATTGTTGAATTTTCCTAGACATGATTACCTGAATGAAATGATGTCTGTGTTATTTGAGTACACTCTGGCCATCAGCATGGCAAGATCATTGGCTTCTGATCCACTATTTGTCAAGAAAATCACCTGGAAGGAAAAGGGAGACACAGAACTTTGCAATTCTTTTCTTATTACACGATTAATTCAAAATTGTTAAAGGCCATGTGTCCCAGTCTCTGATTATTAAGGAGAGGTCTTCTCAGACCAGTTTGGGTTACCTAGCTGTCTGATCATTTAATTACTCTAAAGCCCTTCATTGAGCAGCTGCTAAGTGCTGTTGTTGTTGTTGTTGCTGTTAGGTGCCATTGAGTGGATTCCGACTCATAACAACCCTATGTACAACAGAGTGAACACTGCTCGTTCCTGCACCATCCTCACAATGGTTGTTATGCTTGAGCCCATTGTTGCAGCCACCTTGTCAGTCCATCTTATTGAGGGTCTTCCTCTTTTTCACTAGCCCTCTACTTTACCAAGCATGATGTCCTTCTCCAGGGACTGGTTCCTCATGATAGCATGTCCAAATTATGTAAGATGAAGTCCTAGCTTCTAAGCAGCATTCTGGCTGTACTTCTTCCAAGACAGATTTGTTCATTCTTCTGGCAGTCCATGGTATATTCAATATTCTTTTCCAAGACCATATTTTAAAGGCATCAATTCTTCTTTGGTCTTCCTTATTCATTGTCCAGCTTTCACATGCATATGAGGCGATTGAAAATATCATGGCTTGAGTCAGGTGCACTTTAGTCCTTAGCTAAGTGCTAGAGATACAAAAATGACTAAGAGATTGTCACAGCTATGGATGATTCCAGGATTTCATTGGCCTTATTTGATTTTCTGCAAACTGCTAAGACCAAGAGACTTGCTGAGGGGCACACAGTGGTTAGGTGCTGAGTGGATCTGATCACCGAGGATCAGGTCTCTCGGCTAAACCTAAACCAGTCTACCTGACTCTGAAGGCTTAGAACAAAGCAGGCCCTCTGGCCCTGCAACTTCAGAGGATGCCCCAGGCTGGATGTCCTGTGTGTGTGTGAAAACAAGCAAGCACACAGAAAATGTAGCTCAGCCTGGCCAAAGGTATGGAGAGAACTGAAGGGACTGGAGATGAGTGTGTGCTTGTACCTTTGCTGACTTCTTGTTTCTGCCCCTCCATGAACATCCCTGTGCTGAACTTAGGTCGCAGTGATTACAAGTTTCTTCATCTTAACCAACCAACCAGTTGCCATCCAGTTGATTCTGACTCATGGTGACCCCATGTGTGTCAGAGTAGAACTGTGCTCCATAGGGTTTTCAATGGCTGATTTCTCAGAAGTAGATCGTCAGGCCTTTCTTCCAAGATGCCTCTGAGTGCACGCAAACCTCTAATCTTTTGGTTAGCAACCGAGTGTGTCAACCATTTGCATCACCCAGGGAATCCTTCTTCATCTTAGCCTAATAGCAAAATAATAATAATAATAGCAAACACCATGTACTAAGCACTGGTCTAAGCACTTCACACTTATTAACTCATTTAATGCCTTAAAGCAAATTTTGGCCAATGTTTTAACATATTAATTCAGGCTGAAATTCAGCCATTTCAGGGGCACAAAAATATCTCATGGTACAAAAATGTCTAAATGCGTTGTGTTAATTATCTAGTGCTGCTATAACAGGAATACGAAAAATGGATGGCTTTAACAAACAGAAATTTATTCTCTCACAGTGTAGTAGGCTAGAAGTCCAAATTCAGGGCGCCAGCTCCAAGGGAAGCCTTTCTTTCTCTGTTGGCTCTGGAAGAAGGTCTTTGTCATCAATCTTCCCCTGGACTAGGAGCTTCTCAGTGCAGGGACCCTGCGTCCAAAGGACATGCTATTCTCCTCCTCTTATTTCTTGGTGGTATGAGGTTCCTCATGTCTCTCTGCTTGCTTCTCTCTTTTATATTTCAAAAGAGGTTGGCTTAAATTGTAGATTAATCTTGTAGATTGAGTCTATATAACTGCTGCTAATCCCATCTCATTAACATCTTAGGGACAGCATTTACAACACATAGGAAAATCGTATCAGATGACAAAATGGTGAACAATAACACAATACTGGGAATCATGACCTAACCAAGTTGACAGATACTTTTGGGGGACACAGTTCAATCCATGACATTTCACCCTCTGGGCCCCCCAAAATTCATATCCTTGCCACATGTAAAACATATTCATCCCACCATATCATAGGAAAAATCTTAAATCAACTCCAAGTCCAAAATCCAAAAAACTCCTCTTCATCTGTGAAATCTAGAATATAAGTTATCTGCTTCCAAAGTACAATGATGGAACAGGCACAGGCTAGACATTTCCATTATAAATGGGAGAAATTGGAGGGATAAAAGGGAAAATAGGCACCAAGAAAGTCAGAAGAACACATTAAATTAGCCCTCAAGGATTGAAAATAATCCTCTGTTCTCTGAGATCACTCACGCAATAGCCCTGCACTCCAGACTCTGGGTATTGGCTACGCTCTCCAAATTCTGTGTGGAGGCCCCTTGGCCCTGGGCTTCAGCTCCGCTGTCCAGACCCACTGGGACAGCAACTCTGCTTCCTTGGCTTTAGGTGCACCATTCTCCTAGTCCATCGGAGTGGCGAATCCACCCTTTGAGACCCCAGAAGTCGTGGTCATACCCTTTGAGATTGAGGCAGCTCAGCTTCCTGTGTTCCTTGTCTCTTCAGCTTCTGCTTCCTGGTTCCTTGGCCTGTTGGCCTTTTGGGCCTCACCGCCCATGTCTGCCCTACTGGGGCAAGTGTTCCAAAGCTCTGTAGCTCCACCAATAAATGCCTGGAGGCACCCCACTCTGCCAGTAAACTTCGGCTGGAAGGCATTCAGCAATCTTGCTCCGTAGGTGACAAGCCTAGCTCCATCAATAAGTGCCTGGAGGCACCCTACTTTGCAAGGAAGCCTCCCATGCACAGACACTCAGCTCTGTCACTTCATGGGTTGGCTCCAGCACTGTCTTGCGCTGATCTCCTGGTTCTGCTGCTGGTGGTTCTCTGCTGCTGCTGCTGCTTCTCTGCTCACTTCCTTCTGAATCCTCACCAGAATTGTCTGATGTCAATAATTCCACCAATAGTCTCTTTAAGGCAATCTAGGCTTTTACTATTAGGCACTTTAAAACTCTTCCAGCCTCTATCCACTCACAGTTTCCAAACTGATTCCACATTTTCAGTATCTGTTAGAGCAGCACCCCACTCCCGGTACCGAATTCTGTATTAGTTATTTAGTGCTGCTATAACAGAAGTACTACAAGTAGATGGCTTCAACAAAGAGAAATTTATTCTCTCACAGTCTAGTAGGCTAGAAGTCCAAATTCAGGGCATCAGATCCAGGGGAAGGCTTTCTCTGTCTGTTGGCTCTGGAGGAAGGTCCTTGTCATCAATCTTCCCCTGGACTAGGAGCTTCTCAGTGCAGCGACCCCGGGTCCAAAGGACGTGCTATTCCCGTCCTCTTGTATCTTGGTGGTATGAGGTTCCCCATGTCTCTCTGCTTGCTTGTCTTTTATACCTCAAAAGAGATTACCTTAAATTGGAGATTAATCTTGTAGATTGAATCTACTTAACTGCCACTAATCCCATCTCATTAACATCATAGAGATAGGATTTACAACACATCGGAAAATCATATCAGATGACAAAATGGTAGACAGTCACACAATACTGGGAATTGTGACCTAGCCAAGTTGACAGATATTTTTTGCGGACACACTTCAATACATGGCATGTGTCTTAGACCAAATGAGCTGGATGGTTTATTAATTTAATAAAAAACAACTCTGTGCTTTATAAAAGAGGAAATGTAAATGACTTTGCAGAGGGGCTGTGGAGCAAAGAGATGGAAACCTCTTGAGGAACATAGAGAAGAAAGTCAGGAGGGCTGGGGCTCCTGGGAAGTGCTTTCTGCAAAGCTGCAGTGGTGAGGAGAGCAGGCAAGGAGAGGTAGCGGCTCAGAGATGACACAAGTCAACACTGGCCCCAAAAATGTTGTTTCACCAAAAATTCACAAATTCTTTCCTTCTGCTTGATTATTTTTAGATATGGCCATTGGCTCAATAGTTGCTCAGACCAAATCCCCTGCCCGTGTTCCTGCTTCCTATGGCAACTCCCCTGGCACCTGGAATCACGAGACTGCTGTCCCTTTGAGCTGGGAGTATCATACCTTAAGAGGCTCAGGAAGAAGTGCTGAGAGCTTCTCTGCATATTCATGCATTGGGGGATGGAAGAAGATGGAACTTGTGTGCCATAGGCAGCCAAGCTGCTTTTGGGCTGCTGCATTGACCTTCCTGGAGAAGCAGGAGAGTAGAGTTACCCATACTGCCAGCAGGCACGTCCCCTGTCAACACACACACTAGCTCTTGAACCAAAAAGCGAAAATAAAAAAACCAAACCTGTTGAGTCAATTCCAACTCATGGAGACCCATGTGTTATGGAGTAGAACTGCCCTATAGAGTTTTCTTGGCTGAATCTTTACGGAAGCAGATTGCCAGTCCTTTCTTCCACAGTGCCTCTGGGTGGGTTTGAATGACCTCCTGTAGGTTAGTAGTAGAGGGCAAACCATTTGCCCCACCCAGGGAACTTCTTAAACCCAAACATGCTGCTGCTGCTATTACTAAAAGAGTTTCAAGAGGCACACAAGAAAGAATATCTCTAACCACCAGAGGTATCCAACAATGGAATGTGTTGTCTGAAAAGGTAATGAGTTTCTTATCAAGAGAAGTGTTGAAAGGAGATTAAATAATTGTCTTTTAAGGATTTTAGGAAATAAATTCCTGGCCTAGGAGAGGGTTCAGACTTAGAATCTCTTCTAACAGTAAGTTTTTTTTATTAATGTCCCTTTAAACTATTTGGAAAATAGAGATGACTGGATGTAAGTCTGGATGCCTTCCCATTTTATTCTTAGGACCATACATCCATTCATTCACATGAGTGCATGATCAATAGTTTTTCCCTCAAAGGAGATTCAAATATCTGGGACTGAGTAGTGGTTAATGTTGATAAATATTTCTTAACTGTGAAACCACATTCTTTAAAGGATCAGACCAACCATACAGCATCAGAAAGTTCATCATAATAAGAGGAGATTGGTATGTGGGCCACCACTTGTCTTTTGCTTGTTATACTGTGGTGGCTTATGTGTTGCTGTGATGCTGGATGCTGTGCCACTAGTATTTCAAATACCAGCAGGGTCACCCATGGTGCACAAGTTTCCATGGGGCTTCCAGACTAAAAGACAGACTAGGAAGAAGGGCCTGGTAATTACTTCCAAAAATTAGCTAATGAAAACATTATGGATCACAACAGAATATTGTCCAGTGGACTCAAACATGCCAACAATCATGGGGAAGGTACAGGACTGGGAAATGTTTCATTGTGTTGTACATGGGGTGTTTATGAGTTGAAGTCAACTCAATGGCAATTTACAAGACTGCTAAAAATGTAGTAACTAAATGACTGGAGCAGGGAGATGGGGGTGGGACAAATTCTGTGGGGGAAATAATAAGAGAGGAAAGGAGTGTAGCCATAAAAGCTGAGGGCTAAGGAAAGAATCCAGGACACCCAGAATTGGGGGCTTAGAGGAACAAGCTGAAGGGTCAGATGGAGATCAGGAGAATCTCAAAGGTCATAAAAGCCAGTGAAAATGGTTGGTTAACAGGGACAATGTCAAAAGGCTATTGGGAAGATTAAATGAGAATGTTTAAAAAATTTCTTTGCTTCATTTTTCTCTACTTCTTTCATGCGTGTTTGTCCTATGTTTCAAATTGCATCTGAAATTTATTCTGGGTGCTTCTCAGGACCTCCTGAAGACAGTAGGGGAAGGCTATGGGAGAAGAAGGTGAGAGTAAGGTCCTGAAGGTACAACTAACTCCTCACCTCCTGACAGCTGCTTGAGGAGGAGACCCTTCACCTCCTGCTTTGACAGAAGGGTCCACATCTCTTCAATTTATTTTATGCTTGCTACTTTATTATTATTATTTTTATTTAAAATAAGTTTTATTGGTTACATTATTAAAGGCAAGAGAGAATAGGCATTAAAATGAGATTGCTGCCCCATAACCAGGGCTTAGTTCTGGTTCGAACCCCTGCTAAGAATTTGCATTTCTAACAAGTTCACTACTGAGAATCTGCATTTCTAACAAATTCCCAGGAAGTTATAAATAAGAATCACCTGGAAATCTTGTTAAAATGTAGATTCTGATTCAGTATCTCTGGGGTGGAAATGCCCATAATCAAAAGGACCACAGAAGAACCTGCCGAGAGGACATTTGTGTGGGTGAGTTAGTGATCAAGGCTGCAGAGAATCTCAAGATTAATTGATTCATACATTTCCAATGTAAATTTCCAGCTGTGATTATGTCTTTGTCTTATCATTCTTTTTCTCCTCACCTATCTCTCAGAGTTAATTAAGATGATCCTCATGCTAAAATTTCTCATCTCTCATCATCCCTCTCCCCACACACCTGCCTCTGTGTTTCTCTGAGAACCGCCTGCCTTCCCTTTCATTTCTGCCTTTTTCATGATGCATTCTTTGTAAAGCCACCACGAGAGAGGTGAAACACATAGAGCAACACTCCAGTCGCACAATACATGCCACACTGAATGTGTAACAAGAATTACAGAACCTTGAATTGTCAAGAAAAGAAAAGATGCAGTGCTAAGGTTTTTGCCCAGCAAACAGCAGGGAGTATGTCAGTCATAATCTGTAAGAGGTTTTTTTTCTAACCAGAGTAAGTGAATAAAGCAGTCTCCGTGTGGTGGAAATGGCTAACATGCCTGGCCACAAACTGAGAGGTTAGAGGTTTGAGTCCACTCAGAGGTGCCTAATTTTCAGATCTACTTCTGAAAAATGAGCCATTGAAAACCGTGTAGAGCACAGTTCTACTCTGACATGCAAGGGATTGTCATGAGTGGGGGTTGAATTGATGGCAATTGGTTGGTTGAACCAGGGGTTCTGAATCAAAGATGATTATTAGATTGTTTCTCAAACATCCCTCTGGAATGAACACCCTAAAGTTTAAGGATACTCACGGGTGACAGTGACCAACACTGACAGTGACAATTCCTGAAAAGAAATCCAGGTATCTGTTTCCCTCGAAATCGAATAGCCACTCCATGTGTCCCTGATGGAGCAACAAGGGCTTCTGAAAGTACGCCGTCACCACAGGAGAGATATGTTGCTTGTGGATCTCCAGGACACGGTTATACGAAAGGGTCTGTAGATAGACAAGAGTTAAAATCTTTCTGTTCCTTGTCTCTGCATTTCTTACAAGATCAGCAGGTCAATTTAACAGTGCTTAGTCTCTACTTCTGAAAGGTCACAGCCATTGAAAACCCTATGGAGCACGGTTCTATTCTGACACATATGGGTTGCAACGAGTAGAAATTGACTCAACAGCAACTGTTTTTTTTTTTTTCCCCCTGAAGTCTCTCTAATGAACTGAAGGAGACCTGGTTGCATAGTGTTTAAGTGCTTGGCTGCTAACCATTTGAACTCCTAGCCACTCCTTGGGAGAAAGATGTGGTAGTCTACTTTTGTAAGGATTACAGCCTTGGAAACCCTATGGGACAGTTCTACTCTGTCCTATAGGGTTGCTATGAATTGAAATCATCTCGACAGCAAAGAGTTTACTGAACTGAAGATAAGGCTGCTGCCCTGTAGTGGCTCAGAAGAGAGTGTATTTATACAACATTCTTCTTGCAAGAAACTAAGGCCCTACTTCTTAAATAATAAAATTATTTTTCATGGCCCTTCAATTCATTTCTAGGTCAAACATGAAGAAAGAGGTTAAAATTTTCTACTTCTCAATGGAAATCTCTGGCTTTGAGTTGACTTTAGCAATGAAAAGAAAATGGGCTTTGGAAGTAGAATGTTTGAACTAATAAGGTATTTTTGTTGCTGTAGTTTTGTTTTGAAAATTAAGAAAATGAAGTGCTGGTGTTTATGTCTTTAATTATAAACATCTCTCCCACGCTTCTCTTCATTGCGGCTCCTTCCTGACCTACCTATTGATGCTACAATTTCTAACCTATTAGTATTATGCATGATATAGGGGTTGCTGACAGAGAGAGAGACAGGCAGACAGAGAAAGAGGGAGAGGGAGAGAGAGAAGGGAGAAAAATAAAGAGAAAGAGAGAGAGAGCATCTTTATTAGCTTGAGAAAAAAATGCTAACTTGGTGGAGGACTTGAGAATGTCAAATTGTGCATTGCCATATGACTCAATCAAAATCGTCATGTATAATCTCCTTGTACTTTCTGTCTCTGTCACACACACACACACACACACACACACACACACACACATACACCCCAGTTCATACAATAGTATTAAATGGAGTAAGAGACGATCAGAGGCTCCCAGTGCCTTAAAGGAAGGAGATCTTAGAGGATCTGGGATGGGACAGTTTGGCGGCAGGTGGGACCATTTGTGGGTCCTTCTTGAGGAAACAATTCACTGAGACTTCCCAAGACATACCACCTCTTTTGGATTTTCCCAAAGCCCTGAATCTTACCTTGTATTTTTGAGGTGTGAAGTCACATGGAGGCATCCTAGGTTTTGTGTGAAGACTGAGCTTGGCTCCAGATGTCCAGAAAGTACCTACCAAAAGTGAAGTGACTTAGGATTCTCAATTAAACATATAGGTTTGTTGTGATAGTCACCTACAGTTATCTGAATCAAGATCTTTAGGCAATTTTGTTTATTTCTTAGTTTTTTTTTTTTTTTTTTTTTTAACATCATCTAAATTAGTCTTTAGTTTGGATTTAAAAACTGAGATATTTCAATAACTAATTTTCCGGAGAAAAAAAGTTCCTTTAGAATCTGGTCAGGAAAGCTATGGAAGGTGTTGGAGAAAGTCACAGACTCCTCCCACAGTCCCCAACAATCTTGGGGAGCTCAGTCCAGGAAACCCTTTGTGTTGACTATAATTCTCTCTTCAGCTCTCAAAATTTCTGACAATGTTGTGCGTTGCTGGAGTGAATCCTCTTGGCTAATAAAGGTGCTTTCTAGGCTCTGAGTTACGTTGAGTCTGAATCCCAGTGCTTAGCACATTGCCTGATACCTGGTTGGTACTTAATAAAGGTGAAATTAGTGGTTGTTAACTATTTTTCCAGGGGATGAGGAAGGATAGGTATTAGGCAATGTGGTGTATTAACTAATAGATGCAAATAGATCTGGAAGACAAAACCTCCCTCCAAAACAAAGGCTGCCAACACTAGACCCTGATAAGCTGATTCCTCTTTTAATGAGAGGAATCGCTATTTGGGGCTAGATGGAAACTTAGATTTTTTTTGGGAGAAGTTCTCATTGTATTCATGGGGAAACCAGCCTACAGTTTCTGTGTTTAAAGTCACCAAGCTAGTTAGGTGTAGAGCAAGAATGAGACTCTCAAGTTTCCCGCTCCCAGCCTAATGTTCTTTCCCTCTCATTCACTGCCCACCTTCCCCTCTTCTTCCCGCACAGATTCTGATCTCTCTATAGTGGTGGGAAAGATAATGGAGTCATAGAATATCAGAGCTGGAAGAGTTTGCTAGAGAGCTAGAGGACTCATGGAAAAGAATGCTCCTAACTTTGAAGACTCAAGGTGAATATCAAGATAAAAACTTCACCTATCATACGCAACCCTAAGATTTTACAGGTGGCAAGAGCTGAGAAAATGATGCCTCTTATTCAGCAGGAAGGTTTGCATGCAAGGATGTTGGTGTTTTGTGTGTCTATGAAGTCACAGTCCTGAGAAACACAATGAACAATTGTGTTTTTAAATGAAGCCGGAAAGTAACGGCTCTGAATACATTTTCTTTCAAAGAGATCTTATTCACTTTTCTGCTCTAAATAATCACTAATGCCATTAATTTACTCTTACTTTAAAAGGAAGTGGTTTTTTGGCTATAGATGCATAGAAATGACAAAAAAGATAGTAACTCAAGTTTTCCGAGAATTTCACCATTCGAAAAGATTTTCATTGTGTCTTTCTACATCAGGTACTCTTTTTAGATGGGAAAAAAAATTCTGAGTGTTTCTAAGAATTCAAAATTCCTTCAGTCTCATTTTCCTTTTCTGCAAAATTGCCTATTGAGGAGGCTGTAAGCTCTCTTGACTCCAAGGTTATAGGAATTATGAAATTGGGCTGGAGGGGGAAGAGAGTTGTACAGAAAGACCTGAAAATGAAAAGCCTGAATTTCAAAAAGTCAAGGTAGTTTTGTTCATTCATTCACCAAATAATTTTTGAGTACCTATTACATACAAGACAGTGCTAGGCATGTGATTGGGAGGTGGAGGGGCTCCAAATGAAACATATGAAGTTTGCCCTCAGGCAAATTCAGCCTACCTGGAGAGAGATGAAATATGCACATTTGTAATTCTAATACGTGGTAGGAAGGGAAAAGTTATATGAGAGAGGTATGGGCATAGAACTCTGAAAGTTCAGCATAGAAATCAATTACCTTCTCCCAGGTGTCATGGGAGACTTCGCTGAAGAGGGGATATTTGAGCTGGGCTTGAATGGATTTGGACATGGGATAGTATATTAGAAGAAGACATTCCAGGAGGAGAAACGGAGTGAGTGAAGGCCAAAGGAAAGAACGGAGAGAGAAAGGGGAAGAAAGAAAGAAAGAAGGAAGGAACACAGAAAGCAAGCAAGCAAGTAAGAAACAGAATTCATTAATAAGTGAAAAAAATCTAGCTATCTCCAAAAAAGTCTATTGCCTTCCATACCTCCTCTCTCAATAAAAACCAAGACCCCAAAATAATAGTAATAATAATGACAATTGAAAAATCACATAAAGAGGCAGACCATGATGGCTTCAGCAAGCTCCCAAAATAGAGAATCAAAAAATTTTCCAGAGAAGGAGAATTTCTTGGAATTACTGGAGGTGGAATACAGAAGATTAATATACAGAACTCTTCAAGGCATCAGGAAGGAGATGAGGCAAAACACAGACCACCCTAAAGAACACACAGACAAAGCAAAAGAGGATCTTAAGAAGGTTATTAAAGAGCATAATGACAAATTTAATAGGCTGCAAGGATCCATAGAGAGACAGCAATCAGAAATCCAGAAGATTAATAATAAAATTTCAGAATTAGACAACTCAATAGAAAGTCATAGGAGCAAAACTGAGGCAATGGAAGTCAGAATTAGTGAGATTGAAGGTAAACCCCTTGACACCAAGTTATTTGAGGAAAAATCAGATAAAAGACTTAAAAAAAATGAAGAAACCCTAAGAATTATGAGGGACACTATCTAGAGGAATAATCTATGAGTAAAGGGAGTAGCAGAACAGGGGGGTATAACAGAAAATACAGAGAGAATTGTTGAAGATTTATTGACAGAAAACTTCCCTGATAATGTGAAAGATGACAAGGTATCTATCCAAGATGCTCATCAAACCCCACACAAGGTAGATCCCAAAAGAAAGACACCAAGACATATTATAATCAAACTTGCCAAAAGCAAAGATGAAGAGAGAATTTTAAGAGCAGCTAGGAAGAAAAGTCATCTACAAAGGAGAGTCAAGAAGACTAAGCTCAGACTACTCAGCAGAAACCACACAGGTAAGAAGGCAATGCGATGACGTATACAAAGTCTTGAAGGAAAAAAATTGCCAGCCAAGAATTATATATCCAGAAAAACTGTCTCTCAAATATCCTGGTGAAATTAGAGCATTTCCAGATAAACACAGAAGTTTAGGGCATTTGTAAAAACCAAACCAAAGCTATAAGAAATACTGAAGGGAGCCCTCTGGTTAGAAAATCAATAACATCAAATAACAGCCCAAGACTAGAACACAGGACTGAACAATCAGATATCAACCCAGGTAGGGAAGTCACAAAAATAAATCAAACCTAAAACTGAAAATAGGGAAACAGAGATGTCAATATGTAAAAGATGACAACATTAAAACAAAAAAGAGGGACTAAATAATGTAGTCATAGATCTTTCATATGGAGAGGAAGTTAAGATGATATAAAGAAATAAAAGAGTGGTTTAAACTTAGAAAAATAGAGGTAAATATTAAGGTAACCACAAAGGAAACTAACAATTCTACACATCAAAATAAAAAACAAGAAAAACATAAAGACTTAGCAAATACAAAATCAACAACAATGAAAAAGATGAAAAGAACATACATAAAAAAGACTCAGCACAGAAAATTAAGTGGAACAACAAAACTTTCAACAACACACACACACACACAAAGACATCAAAATAACAGCACTAGACTATACTATCAATAATTACGCTGAATGTAAATGGACTAAATGCACCAATAAAGAGACAGAGAGTGGCAGAATGGATAAAAAAACATGATTATTTACCTGCTGCCTACAAGAGATACAAACAAACTAAAACTCAAAGGATGGGAAAAAATATATTAAGCAAACAATCAAAAAAGAGCAGGAGTGGTCATATTAATCTCTGACAAAATAGACTTTAAAGCAAAATCTACCACAAAGGATAAGGAAGGATCCTATATAATGATTAATGCGTCAACACCAGGAGGATATAACCATAATAAATATTTACCCACCCAATGACAGTGCTCCAAAACATTAAAAACAAACTCCAGCAGCACTGAAAAGAGAAATAGACAGCTCCACAATAACAGCAGGAGACTTCAACACACCACTTTCAGAGGACAGAACATCCAGAAAGAAGCTCAATAAAGACCCAGAAGATCTAAATTCCACAATCAACCATCCTGATCTCATAGACATATATGGAACACTCCACCCAACAGCAGCCAAGTATACTTTCTTTTCAAACACACATGGAACATTCTCCAGAACAGACCACATATTAGGCCACAAAGCAAGCCTTAACAGGATCCAAAGCATCGAAATATTACAAAGCATCTTTTCTGACCACAAGGCCAGAAAAGTAGAAATCAATAACAGAAAAAGCAAGGAAAAAGAATCAAATACATGGAAACTGAACAACATGTTGCTCAAAAACTATTGGGTTACAGAAGAAATTAAGGATGGAATAAAGACATTCACAGAATCAAATGAGAATGAAAACACATCCTACTAGAACCTTAGGGACACATCAAAAGCATTGCTCAGAGGTCAGTTTATAACAATAAACCCACACATCCAAAAAGAAGAAAGGGCCAAAATCCAAACATTAACCCTACAACTGGAACAAATTGAAAGCGTGCTGCAAAAGAAGCCCTTGGGCACCAGAAGAAAGCAAATAATAAAAATTAGAGCAGAATTAAATGATATAGAGAATAGGAAAACAATTGAAAGAGTTAACAAGACCAAAAGATGGTTATTTGAAAACATCAACAAAATCGATAAACCATTGGGAAAATTGACAAAAGAAAAACAGGAGAGGAAGCAAATAACCCAAATAAGAAATGAGGTGGGCAATATCACAACAGACCCAACTGAAATTAAAAGAATCATAACAGAATACTATGAAAAATTGTACTGAAACAAGTTTGAAAACTTAGATGAAGTGGACATATTTCCAGAAACTACACTACTTACCTAAACTGACACAAACAGAGGTAGAAGAACTAAATAAACCTGTAACAAAAGAAGATATTGAAAAGGTAATTAAAAAGCTCCCAATGAAAGAAA